TCTTAGGTCTCATCGGCTACTATCGTAGATTCATTCATAATTTTTCCAGAATCGCCAAACCCGTAACTACTCTGACACAGAAAGGTGTACCCTTTTGTTGGAGTGATAAACAAGACACCGCATTCCAAACATTGAAGTGAGCCCTGTGCAATGCACCTATCCTGTCCTTGCCCAAAGGGACAAAGGATTTCGTTGTCTATTGCGATGCGTCCAATCAGGGTTTAGGTTGTGTGCTTATGCAGAGATGAAAAGTTATCGCTTATGCCTCGAGACAACTGAATACACACGAAGTTAACTATACGACTCACGACCTGGAGCTAGGAGCAGTGGTCTTCGCACTGAAGATTTGGAGACATTACCTCTACGGAACTAAGTGAACGATCTTCACCGACCATAAAAGCCTACAACATATCTTCGATCAGAAAGACTTAAACATGAGGCAGCGGCGATGGGTAGAGCTTCTCAGTAACTATGAGTGTGAAATCTGCTACCATCCCGGCAAGGCCAATGTGGTAGCAGATGCCCTTAGCCAAAAGGAGAGTCCAATCCGCAAGGTGAAGACACTAACAATGACCATCTATTCCCATTTATCCGCACAGATCCGAGAAGCCCAGTTAGAAGCGCTAAAACCAGAGAACATGTTGAATGAAGCCTTGAGGGGAATGGATAAGAAACTTGAGATCAGAGGTGACAGAGTTTACTATTTTATGGATCGAATCTGGACCCTAAAGTTTGGAGGTTTCAGGGAAGTTGTCATGAACGAAGCTCATAAGACCAAATACTCTGTTCACCCAGGTTCGGATAAGATGTACCTGGATCTCAAGAAACTATACTGGTGGCCAAACATGAAAGCCGAAATCGCTACCTTCGTGGGCAAGTGTCTGACTTGCGCCAAAGTAAAGGTCGAGTACCAGAAACCCTCGGGTCTGCTCCAGCAGCCCGAGATACCTGAGTGGAAATAGGAGATGATTACCATTGATTTCATCACCAAGTTACCCAGATCTCCTAGTGGGTACGATACCATTTGGGTAATTGTCGATCGTTTGACAAAATCTGCTCACTTCCTTCCAAGTAAAGAATCATTCACGATGGAAAGACTGACGTGAATCTACATCCAAGAGATAGTCTAACTGCACGGTGTGCCTGTGTCCATTATCTCCGATCGAGTTACAAGGTTTACCTCAAGGTTTTGGCAGTCCCTTCAGAAAGCTCTTGGAACCAACCTGGATATGAGTACAGCTTACCATCCTCAGACAGACGACAGAATGAGAGAACTATCCGGACCCTGGAAGACATGCTGAGAGCATGTGTCATCGATTTTGCGAAGTTGTGGGACACCCATTTACCCTTGATCGAGTTCTCGTATAACAACAGTTACCACACCAGCATCAAGGTTGCACCGTTCGAAACCCTCTACGGTCGTAAGTGCAGATCCCCTCTGTGCTGGACCGAGGTAGGGGACACGCAGATAGCCAAGAGTCGAGTCCCCAACAGTGCTCTCACTGGTCCTGAAATCATCCGTGAAACCACCGAGAAGATCATCCAAATCCGATATCGACTGAAAGCTTCACGAGATAGACAGAAGAGTTACGCCGACAAATGACGGAAACCCTTGGAATTCTAGGTGGGAGACCGTGTCCTGTTGAAGGTCTCACCCTGGAAAGGCATGATACACTTTGGAAAACACGGAAAATTTAACCCGAGATACATAGGACCTTTCGAGATTCTCGCTAGGATTGGTCCCGTAGCCTACAAACTCCGACTACCTCAAGAACTTAGCAACATCCATCCTGTCTTCCACGTCTCTAATCTTAAAAAGTGTCTATCCGTTGAAACCCTCTTGATCCCTCTTGAAGAAATCGAGATAAAAAAAAACTGAACTTTGTTGAAGAACCCATCGAAATCATGGATCGAGAGATCAAACGTACGAAACAAATCCGTATCCCGATAGTGAAGGTTCGTTGGATCGCCAAGTGGGGACCCGAGTTCACTTGGGAGCGCGAAGACTCGATGAAACAGAAATATCCACATCTCCTTCTAATTATATGATTTGTATCTTAATTCTAAAATTTTGGGATGAAATTCCCTCCAACGAGGGAATAATGTGACAATCCGAAAATCTTTCCGTCACTGTATCTCGTTTCTATCAATAAAACCCATTGTATTCCAATGTTTCCGTTAACAAATTTGAATTAGGATAATTGAATTTAGACCTTTATTATGACTTCATGAGTGTCCAAACACATTAGAAACATGAGAAAACACCCTCAATGTTCAATTTGAAAATTTTTAGTTTCAACCACGTCGGGTTACAACAACTAAATCGGGTACGACCATAAGCCTCGTTTAACGTCAGTATCGGGTAGATTTCCACCGAGCCTCAAACTCAAACCCTATATAA